TATACTAGGTGACGGTTACCACTTACCATCAGGTAGACCGTCAGTTAGATACTTGAAAAAACTTTATCTCAAATAGGGTACAATCAATAAGTTTCCTTGTATATTTTATGCATATCACGAAGCATATTATTGGCTTATTTATATTCACGGTGGATACAGTGGTAACGTAAAGTAAGAATGTAGTAGAAATTTCTCACGGGTGGCCATTAATTAAAATTAGTCAATAATTAGACATTTCTTTTTCCTAAAATCATTTTACTGTGTTCTTATATTGAAATTAAGTATAAACCGCAGGTATTGTTTTAATATATATATATATATAATTCAATGTCTGTTTTTAATTTAACTTTTAATATAAGGTTTAAAGTATTAATTAGATAGATATCTATATAGATGTATATGTAATGTGTCAATTAATATTTATATATAGTGACTACCATAACTATAATGATAAATAATTTATATTTCTTGTACCAGAAACCTAAATAGAACATTTACAAGTAAATTTCTGTAAATTGGCAGCACATATTATTCACAAATTTAATTTAAACGGATTTCTATTAATATATATAACCAAGACGGCGACATGTCCTAAAAACTTAAGAAATCTTTCGAGCAGTATTTATTCATTTAAATGTATTCATAGGTTTTATATATATTATGTCAGTACATGTGTAGGTACGCAGTAAAGAAATAATTTATTTATATTAATTTTACGACATCAATATGTCAGTACAAGGTTTCCTCTATTGCTCTAAAATAAATACTACTGCAAATATTTATTGGCATGTAACAACTAAGTGGAATATTGAGCTCGGGTATTAGTTCTAATCCTGATGCCTATTGTCTGCGGCATTGTTAACCACTTGAGTGCTTGTTAGTTTTTTTGTACAAAACTGCGGAATACATGTTGCTTTTTGTGTATTTTTTGTTAGTATATTTTCTACGCCACATAAATGCCAGTGCAGTACAAATTGCGTTTCCAATATTATTTATTTCAACACAATCTTTTTTCAGAATTTAATAAGACTATGTTAGTAACTCCACAGATAATATAATATTACAGTAACTCCAATATCTATTGAATCGTGAAATACAACGTATATTGCTCTATAATAATACAGCTAAGTAGCATAACTAAAAAGGTGGATAAAAATTCAATATTTATGTAGAAAAATGGGAATATAAATTTCTAAATAATAAACTGAGGCATTTTTATAATAATTAAATTCTTTCACGTCGCATTCTTTAATTTATTATAGTCAAATATAAAAATCGCTAAATAAATTTTAAAAAAATCAAATAATTTTTAAACAAAAAATAATCATTAAACACCAATAAATATCAGAAACTTGTATTATTTATGGTGCAGTCCATCTCAGAGGTCCAGCGCTCTAATCTAGTGAAACCTCGTTAGGAATGTGAACTTGTGGCTTTACGACTGACCATACGATTTACTAAGCCGACCGCATACACTATACATTACCCGGTCATGACCGGCTACGGATACCGTATTTTATATAAATGGGGAATGCATGTTATGCAATGCGATACAATTGTCTTGGAAAGCGTACTTCGTCGTCTCACAGCAGCTATTTGACTTTCGTAAAGAGTTCAACGCGCGCTCATATATTTCAAACCAAATACATATTTCTAAGTTCTATAATTTATATATTTATTTTATTTATTGATTTTAAATATATATTAAATTAAAATTTATACATATAATAGTAAAGAGACGAACTTCTTAGCACTCCATTTAGCACCTCGCGGTTGCTGGGTCCATCGTGTGGCGGAAAAAGAAACTCCGAGCAGTTCCCGGGATTTGTGATCCGGGTGTAGCTTTAAGGAGCCCCTTTGCCGAAGTACTTACATTATCTCTCACTGGATCCATCGTGTGGTAGAGAAGGAAACTCCGAGCAGTTCCCGGGATTTGTAACCCGGGTGTAGGTTTTAGCAGCCCCTTTGCCGGAGTACTTACGTTACCACTCACTAGGTCCATCGTGTGGCAGAGAAGGAAACTCCGAGCAGTTCCCGGGATTTGTAACCCGGTTGTAGGTTTTAGGAGCCCCTTTGCCGAAGTACTTACGTTACCACTTACTGGGTCCATCTTGTGGTAGAGAAGGAAACTCCGAGCAGTTCCCGGGATTTGTAACCCGGGTGTAGGTTTAAGGAGCCCCTTTGCCGAAGTACTTACGTTACCACACACAGCTTCACGTTATAATTTAAATGTCGTTATCTACCAGTATACAGGGAAAGCAGCATACTGCCGTGACATATAACTAAATTACTGAATATATTTTATAAATTTTTAAATTAATTCGTTCTAAAATTTATAATTATGAAAATCACTTACCTTATAATCATTATTTTATTAAACAGTAGTATAAAAGAAGTTTGTTTTTAATTTTTGTAATAACGTTACTAAATATAGCTTATTAATCTTAGTTATGTTTATAATTAATACGAAAAATGTATTGAAATAATATAGGTATTATAAAACTATTGAAGTTGGGTACATAAAAGTGACGAATACATAACCGGTTCATAATTAAATGGATAATATTCATATAGGTATATATACAATTATAAATGTAAATTTCTACCCATTCTACTTTATAATATTTACTGTTATTTTTTACATGAGATGAGATGTTCAGAGAATTCAAATGACTCGCTAAATTAATGACCGTTACTTTATTTAGAGACTACACTTTAAATTGAAAGTAATTGTCAAAATGCAATTGACAATCTGTTTTACTTATTTGTATACATACTTTGTATTATAGATATATCTTTATATAGTACAAAATGAACTTGCCTCCGATATCTGTTCGTATAGATCTTTTGTTTATCGGATTTTAATGCAGTTTTTAGCAATAAATAGGATTATTCAAGAGGAAATATTATAGTATAATACGTAAACACCAGTTCGAAGACAAGGCGGCTAGATTACTAGCTACCCGCCTTGTCTTCGAACTGGTGTATTATATTATTATGTATTATTATAGTTATGTAAATAATAATATGGTACGGTTTCAGTCCGCCGTTCAAACTGAAGGAAACGGCCGCAGCCCCTCTCATCACTGCAAGCACATTCCGATCACTTCTTACCTTTATTTTAGCGTTAAATACCTTTTTGCTCGCCTCCTTAGGGACACAGCATAATGTTTAATTGTAAATTACCTGCCTCTAGATGTGAGATGTTTAATGTATTTTTTATCCTACTGGTAGTTTTAGAGATGGGCACGTTAAAACAAACTCTTCAGCTTTATATAATACGCGCAAAATCGCCCGCGTCATAATTTTCCATTTTAGCGCGGTTTCTAACTGAAACTCCGCTGCTATTGATTGTAGGGAGAACTGTAAAAAAGCCTTCCTTCATAAAAGGACTAAACAACATTTAAAGAATTTTCAAAATAGGACAGTACTGGTGTTTCCTCCTAACATCCAAACTCACAATATTTTCCTCTTTATAATATTTGTATAAATGTAGTGTTACTTTTATCAGTCTAATTATTTTATTGGGTGGTGAGGATACCAAACATCCAATTTCAAAATAAATAGTTAAATAATAAGATATGAGATCTTAGTTTATTACAATAATAGTCATGATATAATTATCTACATTCTACATAATGTATAAAATCGGTTAATAATTTTATCAATATCATCGTGTAGAATCATTAATGTAAATCAAATCATATTAATAAGCAAATATCATTTCAATTTGAGAAGTATAATTATGATTTGACGGCCTTAGGCCTTAATAGCGGTTTGAAACATTTTCTTACCTACCGAGATTCGCGGCTTCGATTTTCAAACAAAACCGATATTCTATATAGGTATATCTGGCATAAAATAGAAAAGATAATTGTTAGGTATTTAAGTGAAAAATATTTTAGTTATAGTTATAATGTGTAGTTATTTTTACAAGTTTATTGAAATTTTAATAGTTAAGACTTTTAATTATATTACATATATTATACCTACCACTGTACTAGCGATCAGCCCCTGATTCGTTCAGATACAATTATTAGTGACTTGATTTTTAATTTGACTTAACAAGGGTCCCATTGCTTGCAATATGGGGGATACTATTTCTAGCAATGGGACCCTGGTTTCCATTACTAGCATTCCTCCTTGTAATAGTTGAATTTCTATTGAGAGTACAAATTGAGTCCGATATCTGCTACCTACAATAGTGTACCATATTAGAAATGTATTTCATCGTTGGCTATTAATTTCAGGCGATCTATTTTTTTTTATCTATTAATCAGATCGCTACAAAAGGTATAGTCGACAAAAAACCTTAGGTCCAGTGCCGTAGCTCAATTATTTGTGTCGGTAGAAGTACAATGCGTTGTTATTAAACTTTTGTTACGTGGCTTTTTCTGTCGCCATATCGCCGTACCTGTAGTACCTTCGCTGCGTTTACCTGTACTCGAGAGAGGGCAGAGAGCCGGCCATAGAATTAAATACGTATAGACACGCCACTACCAATATAATGTAATGAGTACCAATATAATGAAAATAATTATATTTTTTTAAATATATATACTAATTTGCTTTAAATTACAGATGTAGTTATATTAGATGTAATTAAAAGCAATTTAGTTTTCTTTTGAATTAAAATTTAGGTTTTTCTATACCAATATGTTTTAAGTAATTTGTAATTAATATAAATATTCTTACTTCTTATTTACGATACTTACATAAATAAAGCTTACACGAAAAAACATAATTTTATATTTTACTCAAGAGATACAATTTTAATAGTATATAAATAATTAAATAATGAAAAATAACTATACAGCCTAATATCATTTAAAGACAAATTAATAATTATATAACGACGTAATTATAATAACAATGCGTCCTAATCGTCACACATCTCCCGCCCAAACGTAGAAATCAGCCGCGTCTGTTCGCCCTTAGCACTATGGATGCGCCCGCGCAGCGCGAGGCTCTCAAACCGGGCGGGCCAGTACACGATGGAAGTTAGCGTCGGTCGCTCGTGTGTCGTGCTACGTCGCGAGTGATGTCGCAGCATGACTGCGCGTGCCTTGTTGTGGTGCCTTGTCCTCATCGCGGTCGGAACCCTCGACGCGGCCGCGGGCCGTCATCGTCTACACCACGTAGCCACTCGTCACAAACACTCCGAGTTCGTTAAAGGAAAAAGTAAGTGTCGCCCACGGTGCTGTGGTCCATATATTAAGTGCATTGTGATAGTTCAGCAACAGGCCGGATTGTAGCCACCCCATCCAAAACAATTATTAAACAAGTTACAAATTGATCGGCGACTATAAAACAACTCTATAAACTGTAGAAATAAAGACTGCGCACGAACTAATCGCTGGAATAAAATAAACAAAGCTTATCTCGTACCAACAAATGTGGCCTTATATAGTTCGGAAAACTGGCCGCGTAAGCCGTAGGCCGCAGCTTGGCAACAGCCTGTCAGTGCTTCTTGTCCTACCGCCACGATCTCGAGAGAAATAATTATATCTAATTTTGTCTGTGACAATGTTTTTCGTGTGTGAAAGGGACAGAGGATGACGTCCTTTGAGATTAAAGACTGCATCGTAAACGGCAAGGTGTACAATTTTGTAGGACCATTTCAAGTTCATTGTAGTCACAGCTTCCTTTATATGCGTCCATTTGAGTGTTCTGTATTGTTTTCATAAGTAAATGTTATTTAAGCCTCTGCACTGTTAACAAAATGTTTATTGAAACCTGTAACTAAAGCTGTGTTCCATAGATAACAAATTTAACAAAACTGCCAAAACCATACTTTAGGCAGATAATGTTGTTTTACAGCAGTAAAAAATGCTCAACTTTTTTATGTTACTAACAAACTAATTCAAAATCGTTTATCTTTATCATTAAAATATTCAAGAGTTATCGTCACTATTAATTTACAAATATCAATAATAAATAAGTGAATCAAATAATAATAATAACAAGTATGTATATAGGTAATGATTGTTTATAATCAGAAATTACAAAAGTATCACAAATTTACTAATATTATTAACCCATAATCTTGTTAATTTTATTTGTCACAATTTACTAACTATATACATATTTCGAAGAATTACTTCATAATCTCGAGAAAAGTACAAAAACATTAGTGGTCTTTATTTTGTAACAAGATATATTTGTATAGAAATATAAATATCTCAATTCATTAGGCATACAACTAGATATATCTCTGGTTACTCTTCCTTATTACTGTTAAATATTCGTCAATCTTGTTACCTAATATAAACCTTAACCCATGAAACGTACTAGACTTTGCTGGTCTACTTCGGTAATAATCAGTTGTCTTTTTAATTTCGTCAATTTATTTGATGAAATATATAGCCTATATGTTATTCTCATATATAAGTTATGTTATGGTAGAGTTTTATTAAAATTCCTTCAGTAGTTTTTGCGTGAAAGAGTAACAAACATTCATCCTCGCATAAACATTATATTATTTTTTTACTTTTCTATAATATTTGTAAGATTTCTTGTACATTGGTTAAGGGTGGAAACTACTTGCAAAATTTTAAATTAACAAAGCTTTTATGTGTTTATTTTAGCATTGAATTGGTTTGAGAATCAGATTTCAATTTATTATCAGACAGATGTAATTTTTCAGTAGGACTCGTTAATACTAAATGTACGGTAGAATAATAAATAAACCTATCTTACTGTTTAAGCTGTAAATATATTAACGTAGATAGATAGCTGTATGTCATTTATTTGATCGTTATCAATAGATACTAATTACACACCTTCATATTTCAAGTATCTCGTTTAAATAAAGAATAATATAGTAAAATCACTTTTCTCCGTATCCTTATATCAACCTTCTTTCATATATTTTTAATTACCTTCATAATTTTTTAATATTAGTACTTATATGTATAATTAATACATACATCGATCCCAAACCGTTTTTTTATTTCCTTAAGGTATTTCTATTAAATAGTAGGAAGTTCCTCCAATAGTCAACTTTGAACTTGAAAATTAGAAAACAGTGTTTATTTTGGCGTTAGCTTGAATTCAACGGTTTGAAATAAATCTTTATCTATTTTTAAGTGTATTTGGTAGGTCTGAGAATAGGTCGTTGGCTATTTCTTATACGCCTATGTAATAAGGGTTGCGCCATCCAGAAATAATTTATACGGCAAAATAATGTTGGCCAGGTCTGCCAAAAGATTTTAAAATTATTTAAGAAATAATTTATATAATTATAATGAGATTACAGTATTTCACGTTATTTCCTAAGTTAACAGTTTTTAATACAAACTTATTTTAATCTACGAGTATTACAAACTGAGACCATCCAAGTTCGTGTTAGATTTATTATGAACTGTCATAACCATCTATTCGTTGAAATTTTTAACACCGATACCACATACCGATATAACACAGATAGAACCAGTGTCACGCTATTACTAGTAGTATAGTTTTACGTTATAGTTATGTATAGTATTACAGCGTATTTCTGGAACTTGTAGTTATAGTAAAGGAGGTGATTAGTCGATTGAACGACTCGTAACACTAAACTTGTTTTGTTCAATTGTTATTGAATTTTACTGTTTGGTTATTGCCTTCAAAGGCGCCATTGTACATATGCCTCACTGTATAAAGGGTGCGCTATATACATATTTCTAACAATATTATATATTAACTAACATTCTGTAATTATTTGCGGAATACTGCGTATGAAGAGCTTGATAACAAAATGTATTAATTAAAAATATACAAAAATGGAAATTCGACTTTAAAGTAAAACTTTAAAGGTGATTGTTCAATATGTATTATTTTAAAGTTAATGCAGCATAATAAGTTTTTACAAATTGTTTTAACTTAATTCTCATCTTATCCTACCTTGAATAATATATAATTTACATTATGTTTGGCTTATGAATCTAACGTGTCTTTAGATTTATTTATAACAAAGAAAAAAATTATGAATATTCGATAAAAAAATATCTTCAAATCCATGTAAGATCGTAGCTCAATTGTTGGATAAAAAACCTTTATTTAAGGCAAGATATTTTTAAATACTTAATAAGTATATTAAAAATATATAATAATATATTTAAATTGTTTGTTAGAAGGAGAGTTATACTAAAATATTTATTTCTAATACTATCTACATTGTCTACGAAAACGAATAAATTTACTCCTCTTACTAAAGACATCAACGTCATAACACCTATAATAATCTTGATCTTAGCTTTATTTCTTCTGAGATTCTTCTCAGTACATTTGTGTTATGACTTTGACTGTAATATAGCTTTATTATTTAATTTGAAGGACTGTTATTTAATTTGTATTTTTTTACTAATTTACTACATTAAAGGTCTAGGTCTCTTAGGTACAGTGTGATTCGAACACAATAGCAAAAATCTTTTCCAATGTTAATTAGCAAATCTATTTCATTTTTGTAATTAGTAAAGAAACGATTAAAACGATTAGATATTTTTCTATAATAATAAAGGACCTAGTAATTAGAAGCTTAAAATAAAGACATAAATTGGCAAGAATATAAATCGAAATCAAAGCATGTTTTACAAATGCAACATATATTCCACGCAAATGTTTATGATGATGGATATTTTTTGTTGTTTTGTCACGCAGAAAAGTACTGAATACATTTTGAATGAATTACAATTAAATATATATATATTTACCTAACTATTACCAATTATTTATACTTTTTTTTTTTATTCAGCTGTCAATAGCGTATAGTATATAATATATACGTATATATATAATAGAATAAACCTAGTTTGACTTATAGATAAATAAATGAATCAGGAAATTAATCAATAAACATATTTTACATTTAGACATGCATATTACACAAGGAAAACTGGTTTAATGATACTTTGTATACAGATACATATATACGCGTTCGTAAAGTAAAGTATACTATTAAGATTCATCTACAATTCAATTTCTACAATTATAACTTCTCATCTTTCGGGGGAGTTAAATAGCCACTTTATATAAATCATGTTATGACATATTTTAGCTTAATCCGGCTCATTAATAATATAATTAATATTACACTCTACAAACGAAATGTATTCAGAATAAAAGATGAATTTCCATATAATTCACATACGAGAATTATAGAGAGAAAATCTTTAAGTTTGTGTACATACCTATTGTATATAATTTACTCAACATTCATATTTTATGATGTATTGAATTATGTATAACAGTCGTTTAGAGGTCAAGTTCAAAGAAGGGGATTGTATCTTTAACATAAACATTACCTATACCCGTATATCGTCATAAAAACTATACAGATTTAAAAATAATATAGACTCATGTAACTAAAACATTTACATCGCAAAACATAGTGGAAAATTGGGAATCATTTTGAAAATATTCATACAAACAGGGTGGCCGTGTCAGATTTGCCTAGTAGCAAGAGTATAAAATGCTACGAATCACGCATTAAGATTACCGCATTCGCTCCTATCTGTACATAATACATCGAAAAAGAAAAAAATATAAATATTTTTTGTTTAAAATCCACGTAAACCAAGTAAATATAGATCGTTTGTAAATGTTGCTTGCTTTAAAACCATGTGCCACTACAAAGAATTTGCTACAGGTCCCATTCTGGCCTAATCCAGCATTGCATCTTTATTGTACTCAGTATGAAAATACGAGTACTATTAAAATATCTATAATAATGAAACTAGCTGTTCCCGCGACTTCGTCCGCGTGGAATTAAACATATTTTTCTGAAACAAGAGAATTTTTCTAAAATAAAAGTAGCCTAAGTTACTCCTTATTACATCATCATATATATTTTATGTATTTAATGGATTGAATATATAAAATAATCGTTGCAATAATATTTAATATCTACCTACATATCTATTCAGATTTGACTGAAAACCCAACTGGGGTGTTATCATTTTGTCCGAGCCACTCGTTTCAACAATCGTCCACCTTTTTGCAATTATATCTGTTTACATACTCGTGTGTTACTTTATTATTTATTTAATCTGTTGCCATCGCATTCTCTGCAATATCAATATAGATGTTATTTGCACGTTCAACGCGATAACAATTTATTGATAGTATCTTATAATATTCCTGAAGGTACAACACTTGGCCCTATCAAAAGTGGTATGCAGAATATTATTACCTAATGCGAA